TTCCATCTGGGCCCCCAGCCTATGGCGTGGTGCCACCCACATTCAGAACGGGTCTTTCCCACTTAGTTAATCTTCTCTGGAAATGCCCTGACAGATACACCCAGAAGTGTGCTTTACTAATCTCCTAGGTGTCTTCAATCCAATCAAGTTGACAGTCAAGATTAACCATCACAACAGCCATGAAAGAACTGGAGATACCGTCAGTGAATTCTGAGAGGTCTATAACCCAGAAGGGGTGACAGTGCTGTCTTCCCTTGTCTCAAGTTCACTGAAGTCCATATGTGATTGACAGGTGCCTTTTAAAAAAATCCTGTAGGAAAAAACTGTCTTGAAGCTAATAAAATAACAATGGTTTCATAAATCTTCAGTCAAAATATATTACAGCATTCACACATCTTTAGTTTGCTCAAGTTTGTGCCAGCAATACATTTAGTCAGTTCCTTCAAGACATGTTAACCATGGGTAAAGAAATAAGATTTCATTTTCTAGCTAAATGTTTCACTTACAAACAGCAACAACAAAACCTCAAAGTGTCACCAATTAAAAAGTTCTTATCTACACAATTAGGTACTATGAAGTCATAATTTCCTAATTTGTTCTGGAAATCTTCTGAATCCAGCATTTGGTAAATTTGAATTGATTTACTTAAAATGTGAAGGGCTGGGTACAGTGGAGCTTGTCTATAATCCCAGCTACATGGGAAGCAGAGGTCGGCGGGAGGATCATGGTCTAAGGCTGAGCCAGGCTAAAACAAGACTATCTGAAAAATAAACTAAAGATAAAAGGGCTGGCAGCACAGCTCAGAGGTGGAGTGCTTGCCTGACAAGCATAAGGCTCTGAGGTCAAACCCAGTACTACCAACAAAATAAAATACAGGAAAATGGTGCAAGTTATCTTGCAAGAAGAGCATTTCAACATCAGGGCAGAGGAAGGTTGGCAATTTTTTATATGCCTCAACATTTTTTTTCTTTTTCTTTGTTGTCTAGAGAAGTATTTTCTGTAACTTCACAGAGAGCTCTCAAGATCTAAGTAGGATCTCCTTCAAGTATTCATCTGAGCACTGAGCATGTGAGGAAACAGTGACCAGAAAGGTAGAGGAACTGTTACCCCAAGATCACACAGGGTCAGGAAAAACGTGTGCTCCTACTGGGTAGAGCGTCAGGAGCCATCTTTCCTCAGTAGTACAAGGTGACTGGCTCCAGACCAAGCACTATTCTAGTCCCACCTGACAAGTCTAAAAGCAAGGTCCACAATGACCAAACTATTCCAATGTTAGCTACATGACAGAACAGAGATGAGAATATTTAAAGGAATATGAAAACATCTAGCACATAAAAAGGTAAAATTCACGATGTCTAGCATGTAATCAAATATTACCAGGCATGCAACAAAGAGGAAAACAGATCTCATAATGATAAAAATCAACTTATCAAAAACTGACCCAGAATTGACACAGTTGCTAGACTTATCAAAGACATTAAATAGCTATTATTATTGTTTTCATATGCTCAAAAAGAGGAAGGTCTGAACATAGTAAGTAGAGACATGAAAGATAAAAGACACACAAATTAAGTAGGCCATCTGGCTACTACCTCCCTCATTAGCTGGCCCAGCTCCTAGCTCCTGGCTGTGGCCCTCTGAGCCACACTCCAGGGCATGGGCATTGGAAAACTTTGGGGTGCCTTCCACCTTGGCTCTCAGATCTCCAGGGACTCTACAGCACACCTAGACTTGAGTACATGTCTGTGAGCTTGCACCATATTTAACAAATCAGGGATGGGTTGTGGGTATAAACTGAATGTGTGGTGGTTATACAGGGGAGGGGGGTGATCCAAGAGAGTGGTTGCTATTAATATTATCTCGTTCTAAAAAAAAAAGAAGAAAGAAACTATGAAAAATAAAACACAAGGAGAAAAAAGATGAAAAAATATAAATAATTCATTGTGGCAGTAAATACTTCAAGCAATTGAATAAGCAAAACTGGAGTCATCCAAGGAAGAAAAAAAAGGCAACAAGGGACAAAATATATTTAAAGAAATAATAGCCAAAAACATTCTAAGTGTGAGTACACTGATCAAACAACCCCAAGCACAAAAAAAAGATGAACAAAACTAGACCAAGGCCTGCTATGATGAGATTGTTCAAAACAAGGGTAAAGAAAAATATTAAACCAATGAGACAGAAAAACAAAGATGAAGATGGCAGACAATTTAGTGTCAGGAGCACTACACACAAGATGACAGTGGACCGACATTTTTAAACTATCGAGAGAAAAAAATAGTCAAACCAGAATTCTATTAACAGTGAATACATCTTTTAAAAAACATAGTTTTTCCACATATATAAAAGCCAAAAGAATTAATTCTAAGGAAAACTATACTACAAGAAACGTTGTTAAGTCCTTCAAGAAAAAACTATTTTTGATGGAAATGTGCAGCTATACAAAGAACAGAAGATCAGTAAGATGGGTGTTATGCATGTAAAAAGATGAAATGCCTTTATTATTAAATTCCTTTAAAAGATCATTTAGACAAAACAGAACAACAGTGCAGTAGAGGATCTGTATCACATGTAAAAGTAGAAAGTAGACTATGATAAGTTTAAATTGCAGTAACCTAAAATAAAACAAAGAATTGTCCAACTAAAAAGGATAACAATCATAAAACACTCAAACCAACACAAGCAGGAAGGAAAAGAGAGACAGCAAGCAGAACATATATAAAACAAAAAGTAAGATGGTACATTTAAACATGATCATATGAATAACCCCATAAGGGGTAAATGATCTTAACACTGCAATTAAAAGGCAAAACAATATTATGCTGACCAAAAAAACAAAACTAAAGCAAAAGCTAACTATATTCTGCCTATAAAAAATGCACTTTATACATACAAATACAAACAGGGTATAATTATGAAGATGAGAAAATCATATAATCTGAATACTAATCAGAAGAGAGAGCTGGATGGGTTGGAGGCACGGCTCAAGTGGTAGAGCATCTGCCTAGCAGAGCACAAGGCCGAGTTCAAACCCCAGTACCATCAGAAAAAAGGGGAGAGAGCTGGAGTCATGCTATAAATGTCAGATAAAGTAGACTTCAAAAGAAATAATACTTCCAGGATAGAGAAGTTCCTTTCAAGCTGGGGACCAGAGGCTCTTAGCATGTACTTGGGAAACTGACATCAGGAGGCTCATGGCTCAAGGTCACCCTGGGCAAAAAGCTTATGAGACCCCATCTCAACCAATGGCTGGGTGCAGTGGTATTCACCTGTCATCCCATGCTACACAAGAGGCTGAGATCAGGAGGATCGTAGTTCCAGCCCAGCTAAGGCAAAAAAGGTCATGAGACCCAATCTCAACAGAAAAAAGCCTGCTGTGATGGGTATGTATATCTGTCATCCCAGCTACAGTAGGAAGCCTAAAATGAAGGAATGAACTCCAGGAAATAAGTGAGACCTTATTTCCAAAATAACCACAGCAAAAAAAGGGCTGGAGGCATGGCTTAAGACTGAAACCCTGAGTTTAAACTCCAGTACTGTCCCCTTAAAAAAATTTTTTTTTCATAATAACACAGGTTCAGTTGGTCAAGAGGTCATAATTATAAACATTTATGCACTAATAACAGAACTTCAAAATGCAAGAATAAAACCTGATAGAACTGTAAGGAGAAATAGACAAAGTCACAGCTATATTTCCTTTCTGAATAACTGAACAAAAATATGGACACAGAAAACCTGATCTCCACTGTCAGCCTACTTGACCTAACTGACATTTACATAACACTCCAACTGCAACAGAATACATTTTTTTCAAGTGTACACAGAACATTTACCAAGGGAGATATTATTATTACCAAGGCCTCAAAGACTCTTTAAGTGCAAAAAGATTCAAATCATATGAAGTAAGATCTCTAATTACAATGTAAATAAATTAGAAATCAATAGAAAGATGCTTGGAAATTTTCACATATTTGTAAACTAACACACTTCTAAAAACTTGAAGAAAAAAATCTGGGTGTTGTACACCAAGTGTTGTACTTCAATCCCAGTACTCAGGAAGCATCACAGGTTCAAGGTCAGCCTTAGCTACACAGTGAGACCCTCAAAAAAAAAAAAAAAAGGCAAAGAAAATAATTAAAATAAAAATTACAAAGTATTTCAAAGTGGATGAAAATGACAATAATATATTAAAATTTGTAAAGGACCGCTAAATTGCTAAAGTAGTACTTAGAAAAAAATGATAGCACTAACCTACAACAGAAAAGAGGACCTGAAGTCAAAGACCTCAGTCTCTACCTTAGACCATATGGCCAAAGAAGAGGAAATTAGTCCAGAGCGATGGTGCATGCTTGTAATCCCAGTACTCAGGAGACGGGGAGAGAACAAAAAGAAAGAGAAAGACAAGAGGAACAGAATAGGGAAGAGGAACAGAAGAAGGAGAAATTAAACCCAAAGTAATAAGAAAAAAGAAATAAAGAAAACCAAAAACAAAAGCAAAACATGTCAACAATACAAAAGATTGTCTTTTAAGAGTATCAAAAAAACTGACAGACCCAGCCAGATTGATCAGGGGATAAATTCCTAGTTTTTTGGATGATTTGTATGCACATCATCTTGATTGTGGTGATGAGTTCATTGGTAAAAATATATATCATTAGCTTTATATTTTAAATATGTTCACTATGTTGGATATCAATTACACCACAACAAAGCCATTCAAAAACAAAAAAAAGAAAAAATAGCTCCATCTAATGAGGATAGTTAATAACTACAATTAATTTTATCACTGCAAAGGAAAAAATCAGGCTTACCAGTAGAACATTTGTTATTGCTTGTTGTTTAGCAGAGCATCCCAGCCCTCTAGAGTGATTCTAAGAATCACAGCAACACAGAAATGTGCTACTGCCTGGGCAGGGCGGTGGGGGGGGGGAAGGGGGAGGACGGGAGGTGCAGCTCAGTAGTAGAGCGCTTCCCTAGCATGTGTGAGGTTCAATCCCCAGCCCTGCCAAAAGGAGAAAAAAATCGTATCAGGAACTAGAAGATACTTATAATTATTATGCACCGTGGAAATTATTTTTAGCAGATATTCCAGAACTTCTCCACCTAGCTAGATAAATGCTAGCTTCTCAAAACCCATACTAAAGAATAACCATTCTTACTGTAGTATGCTGGAACTGCTCAACACAATTTTGGGACTGTTTCCTGAACTGGAAGTTATCTTCAGTCCCAGTTTAGGAGCAACATACAAAAAGGACTTTTACTGTTTTATGATCATACCTGGTAAATGAAATCCTTATTACATTTCCTACTTGAAAGCTAAAATTCCTGAACTGTATTTGAAAACAGCCCAATTTTGACAACAGTGTAGTGCAGTGTCTTTTTATAGTTTCCTTAGTGACCACTTTTTCAAGAACACTGTCTTAGAATAAAATTGGTTGTGTGTATCCTCCTATGGAATGTATATACCGACTGAAAATCAAACATTCTAGAATAATAAGACTACATGTTTGTAAATGAAAAAATAACTAGTTCAAAGTAATTATAGCCGTGCAATAAGTTTGAAACTGATGCTTTAAAAAAATGTATTAGTACAAATTTCCCATTTTATCAGCACCCACTTTATCCATCTTTGGAATATAACACATTTTTAAAATAATTTTTATATTACTATTCTAATCATACAATATTAGATATGCCAAACGAATATTGTTAAAAATCTCCCTATTTCAGCCTCTGTCTCCCTATCGCATCCTCTACCCTCAGCTCACAAAATGAGGCTAGATTTTGTTTTCTATTTTGTTTTGTTGAGACAGGGTCTGCTATGTATCTCGGGCTGACCTTGAATTTAAAATTTCTCCTGCCTTAGCTTCCTGAGTGCTGGAATTACAGATGTGCACCACAACATCAGGTCTAAATTTTGTATTTTCATTCCCATGTTCCGAAATATTAGTAATTGATATATTTGTATTAGTAATACAAATATTAGTAATTGATAGATGGTACATACATGTATACATAGATGAATAGACAGCGCTTTGTTTTGCATTTTGTGCCTTATAAAAAAGGTATACTTCGTATAGTATGTAGTACCAGTGGCTTCTTTTTCATTCAAAATTATGTTCCCAAGGTCAAGGATTGCAGGTAGGCTGGGCATGGTGGCATACACCTGCAAGCCCAGCACTCTGGAGTCTGAGACGAAAGGACCACCTGAGCCCATCCTGGGTAACAATATAAAGAGGCTCTGTCTCAAAAGAAAAGAAAAAGCATTGCATGTAGCTGTGTGTGGATCCCTGACTTTTCCTGCTATGTAATATTTAAATCACTAACTGTAATTGTACATCTCATGTAATGTGTTTTGGCATTTTGCCAAATTTAAAAACCTTTTTCATAACTGTTTCTTCTGACAGTATCTTCTTAAGAAGTTTTACTAGGATGTATCATGCCACTCTCACGTTCCATCTAATAAACCCAGCTACTTGGGAGGGGGAGATTGAGAGGATCATGGTTTGAGGCCAGTCTGGGTAAAAAGTTAGCAAGATCCACCTCAACCAAAGAGCAGGATTACACCTGAATACCAACTATGAGGGAAGTACACAGGAAGGTCACAGGCCAAGGCTGGCCCAGGCATAAATGAGAGACACTATCTGAAAAATAAAGAAAAAAAAGGATGGAGGCACAGCTCAAGTGGTAAAGCACCTGTGTAGCAAGCAAAAGCCAAGTTCAAACCCCAGAACTATCCCCAAAAGGGCATGCGGGCATGTGGGGCAGGGGGGGGAGTTCCATTAGGAAAGGCATACATTGGTGAAAACTCTTTTGATTTTCAAAGTATCTTTATTTCACACTCATTCCTGAAAGGTAGGGTGTTATTATTATTGTTGTTAAGTATACAATTTTAATAACTTTTTCTTAGCTCTTTAAAGCATTTCATGTTATTTTCACACTAACATGGTCACTGATAATTCCTGGGCTAGTCTACAAGAGACTAGCTTTCCCAGTTCTTGGTCCAAAATTTTCAAGGGAAGATCCTGAAAAATTCAGTTAGGTACCCCCTCACCTCAACCAATCAACTGTACCTGGATAAAGAGTCAGGTACCAGAAAGTGACAACTTCTGCAGTACCTATGTGGGTGTGGGATGGGCACAGTGCAATGAGAGTGACAGCATTTGGAAAGTGGTGATGACAAAATATCTACTACCTGTAGGTCACAGATCAATTTAGCAAGGTAACATAACCCTAATGCCTGGTGTGATTCAAATTCCCAAAGTGGTATCTACCTTTTTTGTTTTTAAGGGGAAATCCTTAACAGATATTTTGTCAGGGCTTAAAATATCCTTGGGTAAATTAGGTCCTTTCCAGGAGTGGGTACCAGTGGGAGGGGAGGGCATAAGGAAAGGGTAAAGGAGGGTAAAAATGGTGAATTCATGTGTGAAAACAGAATAATGAAACCTGTTGAAATTGTTCTAAGAAAGGGAATGAGGGAAAATGATGAAGGGGGTGAATCTAATTAAGATATACTGTGAGCACACATATAAACCTCACAATGTATCCCCCCCCCCGTACTATTTTATACTAATAAAAAATACCCAAAACATCCATTGGGTATACTGAGGAATGCCTGTGAAGTCAAAGCTGTACCTTCAGCAGAAGTGTTCTTTACGGATGCATTCTGAACCCTTCCTTCCAACAAGAATTGCCTGTGCTGCCACCAAAACAGACCTGAAAGCCACCCTTCTTTTGTTGCCATCCACACAGGCTGGTCACCTGCCTCTTTCACCTGGATGACTCCACCACCAACCTGACTCTAATCTTCACCTGTCTAGTCCATCTCCACATGGAAGCCGGTGGATATGGATAAAACCCATACTCCTCCCAAAGGCCTCTGAGTGGCACTGTGTGTGCCTGTTCACCCCCAGTCTTCCCCTGGGAGGGGTCCCCACGTCAAACTGTGCTCATTGTCCACCAGCACAAGCAGTGTCCCAAGCTCTTTCTCAGCACCTTTCTGTGTGGCATTCCCTCACCTGGAATTGTTTCTGCAATTTCCTGGACACATTTGTCAACTTTTAGGACTCAGTTAAATGTCACCTCCTTAGAAAAGCCTACTCGGCCAAATCACCTAAAGGAGTTCCCTCACAATTCTCTATTGCAGCCCAAATCATATATAGGTCCCCCCCAAAATTCTACCCTATATTTCATGTGGACCACTTACAGCTCCAAAGATTTGTTTAATCTGGTTTCATTTTGACCAAAAGCTGCTTAACAAAAGCTACTTTAATAAAATTAATTTTAAATTATACAACTTTTATCTGAGTTCATTTTCAGCTTCTTCCCACCATATTATATATGGACTATATAATACTTGTTGCATGATTGAGATGTTCCCAATTTTTCAAATAATCTACAAAATTCTACATTAGGAGAAAACCCAAATCTAAGGATAGTAAGGGAAAGAGCTATTTTAGCAGCTTTTGATTAAATCATAACAATGTAAGTCTTTTCTTCTCAATTCTTTACACTAATATAACATAAACCTTTAAATTAGCTGGAGGCGTAATTAAGAACTTTAGGGCTGGGATGTAGCTCAGTGGTAGAGCGCTTGCCTAGCATGCATAAGGCCCTGGGTCCAATTCCCAGCACCAAAAAAAGAAAAGACAAAAAAAAAAAAATTCAATTATGAACTTTAGATAATCACATGTTTTCTGAGGAGTAAGGTAATAAGGTAAGCAGGCAGAAGAGAAATTTCTGGTGAGGTCTGAATATTACAACACTGTAACAATTTAAGCAGTGAGCCTTCCAGGTCTGAGAAAGGAGTTGCTAACAAGCAAGGAGATATCCAGGAGAACTTTAACATCTTCTGGGGTTTCTCTAACAACCATACACTTCATTAGATTAGAATATAACCATGCACAAGTAGTCACCCCATCTCGATTTGCATTCTCTTAGAGAAAATGGCACTGACTTTGTGTAACCACAGGTTTGTTTTTTTTAATCTTCAAGTAAGCTTGCTATAATAAGAGTATTAAGATACTTTAGCAAAAGCTTGTATTAGTTCCAATTGTCAGTTCTCTCAGAAATTGTGGGGTGGTGATAGGGACGAACAGGCACAATTATTATTCAATTTTGGCATAAGAGATGGTTAGAGAATATAAGGCAATTGGATTTCCAAATCTAAAATTATTTTTTTCAAATAGGCATTATAACTTGTTCAATTTCTAGGCAATTGTGGTATTTCTATAACCATTAACAATGGTTCACAAAGTAAAACATGAAGAGAAGTAAAAATAGGAAGACTCTCATAACATAATTACAAGAGTAATTATGGAACACGGATGTTTTAATGAATTTCATATTGCAATGAAGACACGGAACACTTAAAAACAATTACATCAATACAATAAAAATAACTGCTTCCACAGAACACTTATAAATGCATACTTTCTCCTCCAAAGAGACTTATTTTCACAGATTTAAGTAACAAATGACTTACATAGGCTTCAGATTCCAAAATATGTACAGAACTTTTGACTCTACAGAAATTGATGTGCAGTGGCTGAGAAAGAGTGTTGCTGTGCCTAATAACAAATCTCCTAAAATTTTCTATCAACACACATTTTTTTTAGTAACCACACACCTTCCTTCCACTATTAAATGAAATTCTGGACACTTCAACACATAATAGTGTTCCTACTTCTAAACACTATTTCACATGAGGTCACATGTGGCTGATAAGGTGACTTAATTTTAGCCACACACACACGCACACACACGTGCACGCACTATCCCCGATCATAAACCTCTTGAAAATAACAACACTTGTGGCCACAGCAGCAGTGGGATGAGATCACGTTAGAAGGTGACACAGCAGTTTACGGTAAGTCACATCCTGCTCCTGAGAACTCTGCTTGAGCACCGTTAGGGTCTTCGCCCTCGTAGAAATGAGTGGGGAGCCTCGTTTCTGGTGCGGGAGGCTGACCCCCTTCAGTTAGCAAGAGAAGGTGAGCAACTACTGGCAGTGAAAGTCACTAGTCTGCAGAGAACTAAATGGCCATCATCAACGGCCATTTTTAAAAGCTTCAAAATTCTTTTTGTCTGGCAGAGCTCTGTTCTTAAGTCTGATTTAGCTATGTGGATACATTTTTCAACGTTCTTAACAATTCATTCTAAGATATCTAGACTTTCAACTCAAATACCAGGAATCTAAGAACATGGCTTGTGCAGCTCATCACTAGAAGTCCTCTATGTTCGTAACTTTGCATATGCAGTGGCGTAAGGGGATATGGCAAACATCTCTCACTGTAAGACAAAGTTAGGCCATAGCAAATATCGTGATACAGTACTCCATCAAGCAAAATACACTCAGACAATAGGAGCTGAAACTTGAAATTCTAGCCAACCATTATAACCAGCCTGACTTCAGTTCTCAAAAACATTGTGGTCAGACCTGTGATCAGAAGGTGTCAGGCTTAAAACTACAACTAATTTTTGAAACAGAATTATTCTAAAACATTCCTGGTATGTCCCTCAGTTGGCAACCTCAACTCTGCATAAGTTCTTATCGGTTATTCTCAGGTCTCTGCTTCCTGGCCATGTCAATCATTTCAAAATCATTCAGATGAGTCAGGTATGAAGTTCCTAAGATCAGCTCCTTAAGACCCAAGTAAAAGGTGCCAATAATGAGGCATTTCTCATTCTTGGTAAGCTCCAGCAAAGGACACCAGAACGTCCCATGCACTGTAGTACTACACCCAACCAAAGGGCTATTACGGGCTCAGATGCCCTCCTACAACACCAGAAAACTGGAAAACCTAGGGAACTGAGAGTGGGGTGGGGCTACAATGAAAGTTTAATATTACCTTCCTGTGCCTCTCTAAGTGATCACCCTCCAATGGCTGCATCTAAAGGATTAAAAATATGAGGGGCAGTAATTGAGATGTCTCTTTATCAAAACTGTAACTCAATAAGAACTATTAACTTACAAATATCAGATGGACAGTAATTTCTAAGAAGGCAAGAATAAAAGGCTCACTCACGCAGTAGTAGGATTGGCAATGAGAGGTATCCCAGCTACTCAAGACAAAAACATCCTGTTACCTATGAAGTATTTGTCATGGTTATCATCTTATTAGCCTAAATGAAGAACCTTTTACCTTAGCACACATTTGGTTTGATTGTCTTTCTTGCCTTCTACACTGAATTTAGTATTCCAGCTATAAATCCAAAGTGCTTCAGCTAGGCAACAGTGAGACTGAAGTTTTCCAAATATTTTTGAGGTAGTACTCATTTATTTGCATTGTTGGCTCTCAAATACCACCAAGGAAGTGAACGCATTTAGAAATATGCAAACCCAAGATGTAGAAAATAAATAAGATTCTGTTTTCAGGTAGCAGGGCCTTCCTATAAAGGTCAAGTCACATTCAATGGATAAGTCATTTGAAACTTCTAAAAATTGTTTATAACCACAGCTATAAACTAAAGTGCTTTAAATTTTGCTTAATATCTAAAATCAGATTTGAATAATCATATTTTAGAATTTGCTAGTATGAGACCTCAAGAGATTGAAATGATTTTCTATAAAAAGAGCAGAAACTTGTTCTTTTCAAAAGAAACTCTCTGCAAATGTTGCAAAAATCCAGGTTATTTTTACATAACTCTAATAGAAATTAGTTGAAATTGAACTACACATTAGCACATGCTAAACATCACACAGAAGTCAACGTGAAATCTTTGATCATTCCTGCCATTCGTTAGCCAACACAATGGCAGCTCTGCAGCCTCCCCAGTACAAGGTAGATATGTATAATCATTCCAGAAAATGCAACAGACCATGTGTGCCTCACAGTAAGTACACAGGTTCACATTAACTCACACAAATGTAATGCCCTACTGCTCATCTGTCAGATGTCAACAACTCACAAGCATTTTGTGTGCTAATGGGGGTGAGCTTCACTTCTACTGACCAGAGAATGTCAATATATACACACGAGACAAAAATAAAAAATATGTTCGCACATCTTTCTGTACATTTCATGCAGGCTGGGCACGATGTGAAAAGAACATATACAAAGTACCCTTCCAAGGGTCAAACGCTCACAAAATGGCAGATTAATGTGCAAAAGAGCCTGCATGAATCCAAAGTCCATGGCAAACCACAAAACTGAGGAATGTGGTGACCTTATTTCTCTTGTAACAATGCAGGAATGTTGATGTTCCAGCCAATGGCTTGCCTGTCAAACCCACACGTGAACAGGTTGCACATGGGGTGGTCTTCACTCCATGCCGAACAGCACACCATTCTTCTGTGGCCCTATTAATAATCAGACAAACCAAAATTAGTGCATTATTCCTGAAATGATACTTTTAAAGCAAATTAATAACTATACCTCTCAAATGATGAAAATAAAAGGAAAAAAATTAACACACAGATTAGTCCAAGTGAGCCAAAAATACTACACATGGAAACAGTCCTTGAGGAAGTGATGCTAGTGAGGCCATGAAGAAAGTGCCCTGAGGAAGTGAACACACACCAAAAGTGCTTAGGATTCTTTTCTTTAAGAAAATGAGTCAAGGGCTGGAGATGTAACTCAAATGGTACAGTACTTGTTTAGCAAGTATGAAGCTCTGAATTCAAACCCCAGTACTGGGGTGGTGCACACCTATTATATCAGCTACACAGGAGGCAGAGATAGGGAAGATCATGGTATGAGGCAGCCTAAGCAAAAATTTAGTAAGACCCCTATCTCAACCAGTAAGTTGGGTATGGTGGTGTGTGCTTGCAATACCAACTACATGGAGGTATAAGTAGGTGGATCACAGTCAGAGGCCAGCCCAGGGAAAAAACATAAGAATCTATCTGAAGAGCAAGCCAATCCAAAAAGTAATAGATGGGAAGAGACTATAAAAATTAGGGCAGAAATCAAAGAATTGCAGACCAAGAAAATGACACCATAAATCAATTAAAACAAAAAGCTGGTTCTTTGAAAAAATAATCAAGATTGACAAACCTCTAGCCAAATTAATTAAAAGAAAGGAGAAGACCTGAATTAATAAAATCAGAGACAAAAAAGTAGATATTACAATAGACACCCATGAAATTCAGAAGATCATACATGAAGACTTTAAAAACCTATACTCCAACAAACTGGAAAATGAAAAAGAAACAGATAAATTTCTTGACACTTATGACTCGTCAAAATTGAACCAAGAGATCATTAAAAACTTACACAGATCTGTAACAAACAATGAGATTGAGATAGTTACAAAGAACCTCCCAACAAAGAAAAGCCCAGGTCCTGATGGACTCACTGCTGAATTCTACCAGACTTTAGAGAAGAACTAACACCAGTGCTATTCAAACTATTCTACAAAGCACAAAAGGAAGGAACAACATACAACAAAACAGAAATGACATTCACTGGTTAGTTGACAGTTAAGTCCGTGCCTTCAGATATGAACTATTTAAAGATAAATGCAAGGTGTTCATTACAGAAACCCTGAAATGGTGTTTGTGACAACTGGGTAAAGGGAAATCCCCTGTGCCCCAGAGCCACACAGGGAGAAGAGCTGAAAGCTGTGCCTCCTGGATTGATGAGTCAACAGTTTCACACCAGGGAGCCTTAGGGATTTCCATGCCTGGTATGCTACTAGCATTCCTTCATTCAGCAAGAAAAAGGATCCACAGACAAACACGCTGGGACAATCTATGGATGTCACAGAATGCACTGGCTTATGCAACACCCTGGGAGTAAGATCACATTTCCTCACCTACAAACCTGAAACAACTTCACTTTTTAGGGCATTTTTACCCTGGAGTTCCCCTAACAGTCCACCAAGCATGCTTTCCTAAGACATGGTTTTGGGAAATATTGCCTACGTCAACCCCAATTTTAAATTACTAGTCCATTTCATTCTACTACTTAAAAGTTCCAATAAGCGATGTGTGGTAGTATACACCTGTAATCCCAGGTACTTTGGAAGCTGAGGCAGGAAGATTGTGAGTTTGAGGCCAGCCTGTTCAATTTAGCAAGACCCTGTCCCAAAATAAAATAAAAAGGGATGGGAATGTAGTTCAGTAGTAGAGAATTTGCCTAGCATGCAAAAGGTCCTGAGTTCAATCCCTAGTACTGACAGAAAGAAAAGAGTTCCCATAAACATTTTGTTTAGTTTTTCTCTTTTTTAAAACTGGTCAGCTGCAAGCAATTAGAACAATATAAACCAGAGATTTCTAACTGTGACAGTAAAACTATATTTATATATTTTTGAATGGTTATAAATTCAAACTAAAGCTAAATGTTATTCATTAATCTTAAAAATCTATTTCATCACTTTGAGATATAACAAATCTAAGTACAACAGAATTCTACAATTCAAATAACATTGAATATTTATAGATAATTTAAAATGAAACTCTCTACATAGAATTAGGACCACAAAAACCACTTAGAACTTCTTTCTTTCTTGAGGAAAATATTCTCTAATAAAGTCATACACATGCTCATAAGTCTCATAAATGCAAACTTTACATGCTGCATAGCAATCTTACAACACAAACAGGCACATCTGAAGGAGAATTTTCTACTGTGTTGAAAATGCAACTTAAATGCATAATACTTAGCAGTTAACAAAATATAAAAACAAATCATGACTTTGCTAGGGGTTTTGGAGATTTTTTTTTTTTTAGTTTCTCTAATTTCATGAGAAATTTTCCTATACTGTGCATTCCAAGAATAAAAACATCAATAATTAACTTTGAATGGTTACCTAAAGAGCTATCCAAAAGGAGAATGGCTAAAAGACCCTTGCAGTAAAGATAGCTGCTCTTCAGAAACCACATGCCACTTGAAGAGAAAGGTGCTGTGTTGGTAGCAAATCCTCACTTTACAAACCACCTCTAGAACCATCCTTCCTCTGCAGTGTTTGAAGTACACATCTAGTGCACAGCTGGCTTGTGGCTCGTGAACTGTCCTTTAAGGCTTTATATGATGATATGAGAGTGGTTATCAACAATGGGAAATAACAGAACAGCAGCCCAAAGGGAGCAATGGTGACGAGGTGCCACTGATGCTCACCTCTGAGGTGTGTGGGCATGCAGACACAGACAGGTGAGCTAGAGGGCCCAAGGAATGGATTAACAGAATGGATTTGCTGATTCGCCACACAGAAATCATAATGACATCCAGAAAATATCAAAAGAAAACAAACAAGAGGGTGACTATATCCTGGGGCTCAATTAAACACAAAAACCTTAAAACTGTCTTGACAAATGAGGGAGTTTGTATTTATTAAAGCCACCCATTACCTACCAATGGAAAAGTGTCACTAACCAACATCATCCACACTAAGCCTCTGGCCCCAACTTCACAGAACATCAGAATCACCCAAGGAATTATATAAATGCAGGCTTGGAGGTGTTCCCATCAGACATTCTGACCCTGTGGGACTGAGTTGGAGCCAACGGAGTCTCAATTCTTTCAGGCATTGCAGGAGACCATGGTGGGGTGGTCTGAATAGCACACACAGAAACACTACCTGACTTGACTCCCTTTCACCACATCTGAAGTTAGCAAGAAACAATTCCCTAATTTAAAAGTAATAATCAAAACAATGTGCCAGAAGAAGCGGTTTCTCTGGTTGGTGGAAGAAGTAGGGATCCCATCTCAAAGAGTACCGTCCATCTGTGACTAACACCGCACATGCCTGAGCACAGCAATTCCTTGCACTCCTTGAACTCAGCGTCTCTATTCTGTATAAATTCATTGGAAAATATCTAATACTGTACTTTCCAACATGGCAGCCATGAATATAGGCTGAGGAGCTCAACAAACTTGGCTAGTGAAAATGAAGAATGGAACATTTGATCTTATTTTAAACATGAAAAGTGAACAACTTGAGTATGATGACTCTGCTTTTCAACTTCAAATTTTGTGAGTTTTAAAAATAGATCAAGTATTTCCAATGAAAACTGAGTGAGAAAACAAGAATATAAAGTATCTCTAATAGTTTTATGCTGATTATATGTTGAAATTATATTGCTGTGGGTAAATTTGGATAAACAAATAAATTTGGAGATGTTAAAATTGATTTCTCTCCTTTTTAAATGTGGTTATTAGAAAATGAAAATTGTAATTTTAATGTGGCTCTCATAACATTTCTTCTACACAGCAGTGATTTAAGACGAGATCCCAAGTTCTCCTCTAATGGGCTTTGGGAATTCATGTTACCTGTCGACTGCTCCGGGGAAGTCGTGCTAGTCGCACACCTGACATATCAAACAATCGCACTTGTCGGTTGTCGTGGGGGAGGGCTATGATTTTTTGGCCAACACACACATTGATTCTGTGAAGAAGAAATACAAATGGGTCATATGTAAAATAATAACAGCAAAAGTTATAGATAATGGGCAGTAGGATATTCCATACTATTCACATTTCAAGGCAAGCTGGACTAGCAGGTTCTGTCTGCCTATGGCATTAGAATAGAGATTAAGTAACTATGAGAACACATACAGACCCCATGCATAAAATGCACAACACAGACATACACTACCCAACAGCAGACACATACCCATCCTAACACAAAATCAATCCCTTAGTTAGTAAACAAAAGTCCTACAACATCTGGCCATAAGAGGTTCATTCTTATTCTTACCTTACTACACCATCCTGATTATACGCTGGAAAACTGTAAGTACTTACAAATACTAAGCTTGCATTTGAGGATCAATAAAATATATTTTGCTAGAAGGCTAGGCCATTTTTCATAAGACTGTATTGATTAAACAGCAAATCAATATAAATAAGGCATTATGTTACAATCAACCCTTACCTGTTAATTGCAGAATCTGTGCGAATGGTTGCAATTGGGGATCTCATATTTTTTAAGTCCCATACTTTCACTGTGCGGTCATCACTGCCTGAAACAACGTTATCTCCCACAGTGAACACGGCAGAGGTCACAGTGCTACAAGTAAAGGGTATGGGTCAGACATCTCAAAAGCAAGCATGCAAGATATGACTACTATGCTCCCACACTACAAGCTGCACACACAGTCCTGTTCCCAGAGATGGCAAGGTGGGTGGAAAGGGTGGAGATGTGCACGCCATAAGTATGTTAAATATGAACACCTGATTTCTCTCTCAGTAAAGTAAAAACGCAGCCTATTTCTACTCTACTCCACTATCTCCAGCAATGGAGCAAAAATAAGTTACCAGAAAACTGTAAGGTAGACAGAACCTGCCAAAATTTTTATGTATTTGTGTCTTATGGCAATGAATTTTCCCATAACATTCTAAGTGCAATCTCAATTTAACTTAATTAAATTAATTAAGAACACAGGAGTTAAAGAAAACACTAACAACTAAACAATTCAAATACAGCAAAAGAGTTCAATACATTTTTTAAAAACGTACATACATATGACAGGTAAGCACATGAAATGATGCTCAACATAACTAGTCACAAGGAAAATGCAAATCAAAACATGACAAGATCACTACATACCCTTCAGAATGACTGTTAGCAAAGACAAAAAAAGATTAAAATAGGAAGTGTTGAAAAGAATTTAGAAAAATGAGAATATTTGTATATTTGGGGGGAGATGTAAAATGGTGAGCCACTGTGGAAAACAGCACAGTAGTTCATCAAACAAACATGGAATTAACATATGATCCAGCACTTCTACTTCTGAGTATATACCTAAAATAACTGAAAAGTACTGAAATAATATTCATAGCAGCATTACTGACAAGAGCCAAAAAAGCTGAAACAACCCAAATGTCTATCAGAAGACAGATTTTTTTAATATGTGGTATATGTATATAATGGAGGAATATCCAGCCACAAAAAGGAAGGGAAATCCTAACACACGACACATGAGGGTGACACTTTAAAGCCTTGAAGGACCTTCTCACATGAAGCCCATGGATAGACAAACGCATATGGACAGAAATCAGAACAGAGGTCATCGAGATCTGGGGGGAGAGGGCACGGGGAGCTTAACGGGGCCAGAGCTTCTGCTTACAATGATTGAAAACTTCTGGTGATAGTGGTGATGGTTATACAACCATGTGAATTTATTTAATGCCATTAAACTGTATACTTAAAAATGATTAAAATGGCAAATTTCATGTGGTATATACTTAGCCATAATTTTTGAGACAGGATTTCCTATGTAGCCCAGACTGGCCTCAAACTCTTGGTCCTCCTGCCTTAGCCTCCCATGTGCTGGAATTATAGCTATGTACTAGTGTACCCAGCCTAGACCACAATTAAAACAACAAAAAGCTTGAGAAGAATAAACATCAGAATCACTCTCTTTGAGCCTACTTATCAAGGGAAGATAATTACTAATTTTTTTTAATTCCAATGTGAAATACATGACTTGGGGGTAGGGGGTTTGTAGAACAGAAGAAGAGGACCTGAAATGCAAGACAGAGACATAAGAATCACACAATAAAGAATGAAAGTGCTATAAAAATAGAAAGATAAAGAACAATTTTATTTTGTGTTATTTAGTTGGTTAACTTTGTCCTTGAAATGTAGAAGATACACTGTCCAATACAGTGATAACTATGTATGCTCTAAGTAATAATAAAGTTAAGATTAGAAATATAAACAAGTGGTAATGTTATCACTCTAGGTGCATCTTTGAAGAAATCCAATCACAATAAACTGGTGCCTCCCAGCTGAGGTTGTCCCAGAATTGGCTACTGTGTTTGTTAACTTGTGATGCAAGCTTTCCTCCTGTCAAAGAGAAGTAGCCAATCGCCTGTTAGGAGATAGTCATAAAAGAAATAATAAACTATCATTTGAAAAAAAAAAAAAAAAGCCTAAATCAATCATCTCTTTTGACTAACAAAGTTTAATAATATGACAAAAATCTACTTTTCCAGTGAACTTAGGACTGAAATAGTCTACTTATGTACATACCCTTTAAAACATGATCTACCTCCCTGTCACAGAGGAGCCTAAAGGTCATGATATTGCCTTTATTTTATACAGCTGAGTTCCCATTTCTATTATTCATCTCTTTAAATGGGTCTTTAAGGGACCTGGTTCCTGCCTAGTGTAGTGCCAGGTGTCCATTTCAGTCAATGTGTTAATAACTTATCTCCCTAGGACTGGTCCACCAAGAAAGACATCACCTGATTTCAGGCCAGTGTCAATAGATGGAAAGATATCAGGGCAGGAGCTATATAGAGAGACACAGGCCTCACCTCTACAACTGTTCCTCATGACCACAAAACCTGGGGTCGCTCACACTGTACAAGAGCTTAAAACACATCTCAGCACTCACTGAAGCTCCTGAAGTCACCCTCCAAGATGACAAGCATGTAAATTTCCACCTACCAAGGAAATAAAGTGTCCTCTTATCCTCACAAAGCATTTATTTCATGGACAAAAGCTTGGTTTCTACATCCTGAATTTATGCCTATTAACTATTTGGAATTTAGTAATTCCAATTTAAATGCCAGTTGTCCCTGTCACTAAAGCTATACTGTGAGATATAACTTCATGTTCTATTCAGATGCCTAACGAGATGAGCACTATCCAGTCACTGTGTCCCATTTTGATGAAAGCCCTCTTTATTTAAATGGACACAAGTATAGTTCTAATTAAGTCTAAACCCCGCTGCCTTGATAAAGATTTTTAAAAATACAACATCAGAATAACTACTAAGAATCAGGGAGTTTCAACAAGACCTAACAATAAACTATGACTTAACACTAAGGCCCCCAGCACACAATCAGGAATGATGTCATGGTGACATCTTCAACAGCACATCTGCATTCTGAAAGACTGTCTGCCACATCACATGCATCTGCAGCACGAATTTGCTCATTCTAATTCCCCACCTGGAACTGACACTGGGTAGGATCGTTCTCTGCTGGAGGCATCCTGGACACTGCAGAGAGTAGCAGCCTCCCTGCTTCTGCTCATCAGACACTATTGAATGTCCCCTCCCTACATGTGACAATAAACAAAACCACCCTGGTTAGAAACCACAGCACTACACCTAGAGGAGCATAAAACATAAAATCTTGCACATAGCAATATACAATAAAGGGAGAAATGACAGAGAGGGTAATTGTAAAATCAGTCCAATAATCCATCCGAATTCTTTCTTTAAAAAACAAATAACTGGCTTACAGACCCGAGTATAAATCATGTGTTGCTATTTCTTAAATGCAAATGTTACAAGAAGGCTTAAAGAGCTCCAACTACAGATAGGTCTTTGAAAAGCAGAAGGTAAAGATGCCCACTGACTTTTCTTGGGACTATAGTCTTCAGGCAGTTTTGGCCAAGTTAAATTTCAGCTAACATTCTGCTAAATTAATGGGGGAGGGGGAACCTCAACAAAAGATCATCTAACCCTATATTAATGAAACTCGAAAACATCAGGTTTTTAATAAACTACAATCTTGACAAGTATTATAGAACATCAAAAGGGAAAAAATGGCAAAGAAGCAGTAGTTTTAAAGGCACCCTTAAACTATGGGTCCCACAGGGAGGCTGGTAAGCTACAACCACTCACTGGAAAAGCTTCCGACTCTGCCAAACTCCAGCAAAACTCATTTATCTTGTCGTGGAGAGCAGCCGAGCATATACTTCCAGCTGACAGTATGGTACCTTCTCACCACACACCACTGCCTGATCTGGAACATTCTGCTCCCTCCGTGAGTCTCAATCAACGGAGATACAGTAATGCTAGCACTCCTCATTAGGACTAACAGCTGTCTTCCCAGTCACACAGAGACACAAAACCGTTTTGCATAACAATCTGCTGAAATTTCACGGCTAAGAAAAAAAATATATGATGTGGAAAATGCTGGACCATGAAATGCTAATGCAGTGTGCTTTTCTGGCACCACACCAAAAATTCAGTATAGTTTCCATTTCTTATTTTTAAAATAAAGATTCCTACAAAATTATGTTTTTACATCTGAAAATCAGTGAGTTTACAGAGAGCAAGTGCTCCCTAAATAGAAACACAGTGTGCAGGGCCTCCCTTTCCTTAACACACCAGCTTTTATGGGTTCAAGGTATACAAGATGGATTCTAAAAGATCACCTATGAAAATACCATTGGGACTTTATTACTTTGACTGTTCAAGTACGCCCCAGTATTAATATAAAAGTGCATGTATAATATAAAAGTACAAATATAAAAACATCTACATCATCTGATAGGTCTGACTTTCAAACCAAGCATTGTCTGGAGTTAGTAACCAAAGTATGGTACAACGAGCCAACAAAAAACCAGGGTGCACCTGCACACAACAATGCTTAAAGCCAGACAGAACAGGATGCTACTGCACTCTTGGTGTCCAAAGTAATCAGGCTGCCAGATTCCCTCCTCACTATCATTTTCTAAACTATTTATATAAGACCATACTTCTAACAGATAAAATAAGCCTTAACCCTTAGCAACCTGAATACATAGACACGCTAGGATCTTGGACAGCAGAGGTTCTTTTTGCCTTTCCTATCATGTGTGCTTTTTAGAATTTAAAGAACTCACACAGCCTGTATTTTAAGAACTCAGATGCCCGAGAAAGAGAAAAATAATGTCCAAATCAAACACATTTTCAAATAGTCCTTGATGGCTAAATCCCCACAAAAAATGGACTCTAAGACAAAACACCATCAAAGAAAAGTCAAACTTGTATCACAGGTGACCCTTTTTTATAAAACAGTTTGGAAATTCAACTGTTTCCTGGAACGAAGGTATTAATTCACCTAACGTGAATTACACTTGATTACACTGCTCTCTACTCCTCTCTTGTCAGAAATTTCCAATACATCTACACTACAGACCTGTGCCAGGTCCCACTCTGTGAGAGAGAACATGCAACAGTTAAGAGGACAAAATTGCTGCCTGTGAGGTCTCCATTCTAACAAAGAAGATGGCAATATTCACCCCCTTTTTAATGAGATACATATGCAGCTTTAGGGTGCACAATATCATCTGAAGGGCTAAAAAGGTGCTGCTGACAGTCATGCTAAAGTTACACACAAGCTTCTGTTAATAACCACATTGATCACTGGCCCACTGACAAGACTCCTAAAGTGATTTCAAAGCACATCAAAATAGTACATTTAGTCACTGGGCTAAATCCTTGAGATTTTTGAACTGTAATAGTAAGAACCTACTTCATAAGCTGCACAAAGATGATATTCAGTTCAATACAATTTGATATAAAATTATCACAAAAAAGTTTAAATTAATAAGATTTATACAATAACTCCATTCTTGTAATATCAAGGGTCAAGACTCTTATTTGCTTTCTTGAAATCTGGTCATTCAATGTCATTCATTCTTATTAAAAATCATAATAGTCAGCTGTAGAATTTAGAATATTCATAATTGCATCAGTAATTTTAAAGAACCTGAGAGAAATGCATGGTATTTAAATTTTAATATCTGGTATTAATAATCTAACTTTTCATTCCTTTTCTGGATCCAAGACTCTACCTGTCACGTGCTTATCAATTAAGAGGCCAATGTCTCCAGAGCACCCATTGTGTAATTCTGCATATAAAAAGAATTTTGAAGGTTTCCTTTAGTTTTCAGATACTAAAAAATTCAGATATATTTTGTATCAGCTTTTAAGGTAATATAATACAGGAAACAGGAAATTTGTTAGGAAAATTAAGAACTTCAGATTTTTACTTAGCTATAAACTGCAAAGCAGAACAGTCACTCTTGTTTTAACTGATAAACAAGAGATGAGTCACTAAGAGACACCATGTAGAGCACAGAGTGCCAGGCAGGACCCACACACCAGTCCTAAGTCTGCAGTGACATGCCCAAGGCTTTGAGAAATAAAGACGCTGCCTGAACTGGACTCCTCCACTTACGCAACACTGGACCACATGCACCCAGAGCTGTCACAGCCCACCCTGCATGGAGACAAGCTCCATAGTACGAAAATGCCTCTCAGAGGTGATGAATGATATTTATATCAAGTATATACACATACATGTACATATGTATACATAGATATACATGTACCTGTTTGTGCAAACAGCTGTAACTCACCTCCACTGACACAGAAATGGATGTTTTCAGTATGCTAAGGAACAACAGTTTTTGAACACAAGCTGTACCTGATTCTACCACCCACTGAAGGAGGCCAAGAAGGGAACAGACGGGCACCAGGAAGGTACCCGTGGGTTTCCCCTTAGGTGAGGAGGGCACACTGAGTAAAATGACACATTTAAAAGTTCAGAACAGGCTATAGCCTTGCCTTAGAGAGACCCACCCAAAAAAGAATTCAAGCATTTTCTATGCCTGGTCATCTGGCAATTGACATTTAAGGGACACCATTGCACAGGACATGAAAAACCCTCCATCCTTTATAACCCTGAGGAGCTCACAGGTGGGTAAATGGCCCCAGTGTGCTTCGGACCCCACAGAAAAGCAAACTACTGGCAAAAACCACCAAAGCAACTGCCCCCTGACCTGAAAAACAAACACACCTCCCTCCACACACACCATCAAATTTGGCTGTTATAGGAATGGGGTGTGGGGAAAGCTGGCTGTGAAACACTGCAATGGGAAAATACTTTTACTACTCAAGTTCATCAAGCCATGGCCAACATATCCTGCTAAGATTCTGGTATTAAATGACTCAAGGTAAATCAACTCAAAGATTCCAAATCTATCCTTTGCCATCCTCTGCATTACACAAGGACTGAAAGATGCCCACCAGTACTAAAAGGAAGATAAAGGCAGTCATGATACCACTATTTTCATACCCAAAAGTTCCAGAGCCCAATCCACATTCAGGTAGATTCCAAAGTCAGGTTAGTATCTA